CTTAAAACAGTGCTCGCAGCTCCTTGACTGGCATCTGATGCTTCGTCGTCTCAGGACAGGCGCAGTGAGAAGGTGTCGCTAGCGTCGCCTGTGGGGACTCGCAGTATAAGCACAGAGCTCGAATCATGCAGACGGCTTTCCGGCAAACAGCAAGTATTGATCTGCAGGGCCTATAGTGTTCGGGCAATTGCTACCTGTTGGGTTATCTGTAACAAACTGCGCACATCGAAGTATGCGAATTTTAGCTCCGATCGAGGACTCCGAATGGAAATTGATGAACTGACCTTGTCTACTGTGATTGGCCGTGGACTTGTCGACTAGGCTGGAACGACGCCGTGTGATTGCATGTGAGTTGTAACTAGAAGACAAACGCCTATTTGAAGCAAGATGGCGGAGGCCTAATCATTGGGGTTGAAAACAGGAGGGATACAAATGGTGTTGGAACAAGACGATACTAATGAAAAAGCGCGGGAAGGGTGACGCAAAGACGGGAAGACCTGCGCAGTTGCACACTCATCCTCATTCTCCCTGCTCGATGCAACAGATAGGATATCGCTGATTATACTACTGATGAGCAGAGCATCAAGGGAATTTTTGAATATTAGTTCATCACATTTCGTGGGCAGTGTACTCTCAGGCTTCCTAGGCTTAGACAAGGAAACAACTAGTGTTCTCAACCAATTCCTTTGGTCCTGAAATCTGACATCAAGACAGCGGGAGTTTGGCAGTGAGGTACAGGGAGCACATTTCAATAAATAAAGATTCACCTTCACTCCAGTTCCTAACCTGGTGGACGAGGAGGCCAAGTTTGTCTGACCTCTAATCGTTAACAAATGTATAATGAGTGAATCTGAAGTTACAAAATACACCACTCGAGATAGCTCAATATATCGATGAGACACGCTTACTATTGCACCAGGATAAGGTCAGGCCTCATTTTGATGAGTCTTTTTATAATCTCTCACGTGCATTCAGGTGACGTGCAAGTCAGCTGACTATATCATGCGCTTGACTTCAACGCCGTTGGTGATCACATTCCCAAGGAAGTCGATACAAGAGCAAGTAGGACTCGCGTGTATTTGCACGGTTTTAAGGCTCATATATGAACTGTAATATTCACAGCATTGGGCAAACAACCTACTGGGAACCCGCTTTGGCTCTTCACAGTCAGGCGGTTATGGTGCATTCTGAGCACTGCCTCTTGACACTACCTGTGCAGGCATTTCTTTTCTTTTCTTTTGATGTTCCTTATCCCCACCTTTGTTTTCTGATGTTTTTCGTGCTTGTTACCTTGATGTTAATTGTGTCGAGACCGCTTCTTGTTCTTTTTTATCAATTTGAGTTAACTGAGCTGATATCATTAATTCAATCCGTTCTTTTGGCCCAGCGTACTGGAATCACGCTTTTGCGCACATCGTCTATCAAGGCAATTGCATCGTCATTTTCGCATGTGCTCCTTTGACAGTGAATACTACTGACTTTACAGGTCGATTCGCGGCTCACTCAGGAGTACAATCGATGCGCTCCGCACACACAATCGCAATTATTGTTTCTTGATGAATCCGGTATAGGTATAAATTCGTCTCATTTAGACTCACTCAGATAGCCATCACACGCCCGGAAAAGTACTGCACGCACGCTTCATCTTTTCGGGAATCTTAAGCAGTGCGCATTCCATCTCACCCTGGTAGGGCTCGAACCTGCAACTCGACTGTTACCAGTCCGTGGTTACGACGGCCGTACAGTGCTTTTCCGGGCGTATGATGGCTAAGTGCGCCTAGATGTGACGAATTTCTGCCTATACCATTCAACTCCCCCCTTTCTGGAATCCGATGTGATTAGTCGTCTGCTTCTCTCAACTTACACATCAACAGTGCGCCGGCCTACGATACCAACACTTCGCTGCCACACCAACACCACAGCCGACCGGCTGTGGTGGGTTGGGATATCCCGAGGTGGTCCGCACTTACGCGGATTCGAACCGGTGACATCCGGACTGGAAAATAGGCGTGTAATCCTTTCAGCCACCGACCACATTCTCTGGACCGAACACCTGTGCAGCGCACACGCTTTGCACTTGTGTGAGTACGAGGCTTCTTGCCATGTTCAGCTGCAATAAAGTAACCAACATAACATGTACATGATCACACACACGCGCATCCCTTTGAATACTGGGGATTTGGCCGCTCTTTGAATTGCATGCATTTACACATGTTAATATACCGGTACTTTTGTTGTACCGCGGGGAAATTACTTCGCTTGTCTCATTCGAAGTCGAAACCATCCTGCGTGCAATTGTGCAGTAAGTTGAATAAAGTTCAAACATTACTAACTTTATCCTCACAATCCTGATCTGGTGTGCGATCGTTGAAGCACAAAACTTGTTCCAGGACAGTAGGCGGAGCTTCTTGCGAATGGAAATCACGGGTACGTGATTTTTGCTTTACCTTTGTAACGCCTGAACTAGGTTTATAACACGCAGCTTAACTTGGTCACCCTAAACTCAGCTTGTAACTAGGCCACTTGCAGTCAGCTATCACCCATTGGGACTCATTCATTCACATTGCTTCTTCTTCTTCTTCAATTAAACGGTCTCGGGTTAAGTTGTTATCACATGCATGCTGTAAAGACTATATGAAGCCTAAACTAGGTAGTCACACGAGATGAGGCAAGAAACTGTAGGCTAGTATACCATTACTGTACGCACGGTCTGGGAAGAGAAATTATAACGTAAATTCCTGTTACCGTTGTTCTATAATACAAATTAAATACAGTTATTAACTTACGAATAGGTTTGCAATTGTAATGGGAAAGGGCAGAAAATGGAATGCGTGCGGCGGTACGGCAAAACGCTACATCGTAGCAGTTTGCCAATTGGCAGACTATCAAGGATGAAATGTTTGACCTTGGGGAGTCAAGGATGTGCCAGTAGTGGGAAGTGTTATAAGTGTTAGAAGCAAACATGTATAAATTTCTGTAAGGATATAAGTGAAGGGTTTTGGAAAAAGGGATATTATGTCCTCAGTAGGTAAAACAGTTTGGCTGAATGCTCAGTTCTCTTTGGACTCTACACATGCTGTGAAGCACGTGGTATCGTCCTGCGCTCAAAGCGCCACACAATACCAGTAATCCGCGCATCTGATTTGTTAAATCCCACTAGTTCGGTGGAATCGCGTCGATACTCGATGACGCCACAATCTGACTTGCCACATTCACTCTTCACTTTCGCGTGCGTAGCTGCCATAACTAGTTCATTAACCACTATTCACCCTGATTACAAAGAGAGTGTGTGTTGCATGAAAAACGGGCACTAGAAGGGCTTTACATATAATCGTAGACCGTCCCTTTTAACTGCATCACGTTGTCAGCGCCCACTGTACGAAGTATTTCAGCTTCTTAACTGTGCGTATCCCCGAGTAAACATTCAGGCCTTAAGCGGATTACCAGAGCCGTTAAGCAGAACCTGGAAAAATTATCAGTACTCTGTCCACTTCTGGCCTCATGTTACTCCCATATCTTTCGCTCCCGTCTTTTTGCTTCTTCTGTCACCGCTTTTCGCTCGGTATCCATACTGCTTGGCTGTCGTTGTTCAACCCATGGGCATTTCCACAGGAAACACTTTATTATGAATATTGGTTTGTTGAGGCACAACGCAAAGCATTTCAAACCGAGATTGTGTATCTCAATTTATTCACACAACCGGTACTTGAAAACGACCCTTACAATGACTTGTTAACTGTGGTAACAAATCCTGTCCGCCGTGGCTCGGTGGCATTGGGGTAGAAGTTTCGACTGACATCTCAAACGCCGTGGGTTCGAGTGCCTGCTATCCGTACATGACGGGATCAATTAAGTCCAAAAGCGGTCATGTTTTCGGGTCGGAAACATTATCTCTCTGATCCAGGTACGCCCCAGTGATCAAATTGACCATGATTCACTTTGATTAGAATCTCAGTTAACATTACGATTGCGCGTCGCAATCCGTTCGCACAACGTGAGCATCAGATAGCCCCTGCAGTCAGTTTTTAACCGATGTGACAAGTGTTGGCGCTGCGACCTAGTGGCTTAGGCCTGAGATTCCGGTTCACAATCCAACGGCCTCGCGTTCCAGTGCCTGCTATCTCTACTTGATGGGGTCAGCACGTTCGAAACCCGTCTTGGAGTGCAGTGTGTTATGGTGAGGAACCCTCAATGTCTACCAACCGTTTACATCTTTACAACAATCGGTTACTAGTACTGTTTTTTCTTATTCTCCCACCTCATCTCCTTGTCTGCACACATCTTTTCAACGTTTCTTACAAATGGTTTGTTCCCATGGCAACCACTGCTACTGCCTCAGTCGCAACGGTTGTTTCCTACAAGTTACCATATTTCCGCCGTTCTTATCTAATCCAAATGGGACGCTTAATTCCTTTTTCGTTTGCAGTGTTCTCCTTTGAGCACAAACGCTACCCTTGTCGAGGCCATAGGAACCGATGTTCACGCTTTCTGCATTTGCTGTCCGTCTTTTATTGATAGCACTGCGGAGCCTTAACAAGATTCCCCTCCTAGGTGCTTTTTTCGTTCATTCTATCGCTTTGCCCAGACTTTATACCGTACGTTTTGTAGGCCTTCGTTCTACTTTGTCCTGTTTTTCAGACATCCACATATCCCAAGAGCACAGCGTTTCCTACGCATTAGTACTTCTCCCACAACAATGGTAATTTATCAAATACTCCCACCATTCTCGTTTTCTAAGCAGTACCCGTTTTCTCCTGTTTAAAATTCAATTAATCCACCTATACAGTTAAGCTGATTTTGCTCTGAGTCATATCTATGTCACAGCTCTTTTGAACTAACTTCATTCCCCTTTTTCTCGTCTGAACTAAGGGGCGAAAATCACCCGTGATGCAAACTGTTCGCTTGCTAACTCACTGTGCGTAGTTGTACTGTTTCTCCGTAAAGCCTCGAGTTCGGCCGTTGCCATGTTCATCTTCCTGTTCTCTTCCTCTCGTTTCCAGCATTCGACGGTGGTTATCGCAAACGCCCGTATATATTTCTGACCGCACGCGTCCATTCCGGCGAGACGAATTCCAGTTGGGTAATGCGAGGATTATTGGACAGACTAATTTCAGATGACCCAGCCATGTCTACACTACGACAAGCTTTTATCTTCAAAGTCATCCCCATGTTAAACCCTGATGGGGTGATTTGTGGAAAGTAAGACAGGCGCATTTGATCCTCAGCTGAGCTTAAAAACATTCGTGCCGTCTTTGTTCACATGATTAAAAGCACACCAGATTATCATTGCGAACCACAGCTCTGCAATCTGTTTTCATTACAATTGTGGCAAGTCTTCAGTTTCTTCAAGTTTCACTTGTCTTTCAAGTTCCAAATATGTTTGAACAGGATGGCGTGCCCAGTGTTCGTGATCCACAGTGGATTCCTTGGTGACAAGAGCACCTCGACTTGGTAGTCACCGTGTAGAATGAGCAGCACTAGGACAGCATCTCCTTCCAGTCTGGATTACTGCGGATTTAGAGGCTGGGTAAAGATGATCAACCATTATGCACGAAGGGCCGTGTATGTCCATTTTGCCACGTCACTTCTTCTCTGGAGTAGTTCTTGCTGGAACTTGAACGTTTGCATTCATGATGATGACAGCCTCTAGATAAGTGCGCCATAAACGTCACTGTTGTTATTTCTCCTGATAGCCATTGACGAATCATATGCCCCCTTTACATAATTCGTGGAAGTAAACCAATGCTAATATCATTGTATCAAAAAAGCTGTAGATATGAGCAAACCTTATCACGACTGCCAAACTTAGTGCCAAGTATAGTAATGTATCAATGTAGCGATCATGAGCTCAAACGAACAATGCATAGTGAGCGCAATTTTACCACTCCGATTGGACAAGTGCTCCCGTTTCTTGAGAAACACGGGTCTGTTCGTAACACTTTAGTCCGTGTGATCACTTCTGTCACGGCCTGCGAGGGTATGCTTTTGGTAAATCACTTGGCAGTTCGCGAGTAAGCATGTGTTTTTTAACTTATAACTTCCATTGTTCTTGAAATACCCGACGCATTAATGATAGCCTCTACTTCTCGAACTTACTGACATCTTTTCCAAGGATACGTTGAGCAAGGCATATGTGTGTGTGTATACACACCGCGGTTTTCAACGGCTATGTGCTTACAACTTACGCACCCCTTATGGCTTCGAGTTTGCGGTTTGTGTCATTTGTAATCCTAGAACGATTCCCGGAGAGCATCCGCATTATTACCACTTGACCTCAGAGCACAATCACCGTAAGCACTAGTCCAATAAAAAGTCTTTGTATTGTTTCGACTTAAGCTCCCACTCATTGTGACTAGAAGACTATCAGAGATATTTTCTCCAAGCGGCTTCTCTTTTTCGGTTGACCCAAAGTGTGGATACCACACTGATTGCCAGTGAAATGGTTGCTCCACTCGGTTGCGCGCCCCCAAGTCAAGCCACCGCCTCGAGTGATATTTCGCTGCCAACGCTTGCCATGCCGAGCGCCTTCTTCAGTTTCGCATCAACCGTAACTTGATACTTTGTGCTCAAACTGATCTCCGCCGTCCACCGCCATAGGTGGTGTACGTCTGGTGTGTTGATCATCCTGCGGCACTTGGTTCGATTCTCACTGTGCCGGTTGCACACTTACAAATTGGATTGTCCGTCAACTCTTTGCGCAATCAACAACTCAGCTGTGTAGATCCGCTTCTGTACGGTTACTAATTCTGACGAACGAGGTTAGAATCAGATGTGTATTGCAATCACTCCCAGTGTGCCGGGCCAAAGCCATCAAGTTGGCGATATGCGAATAGTTCATAAATGTCTAGAGTTTCTCCAAATCTGATAGATTTAAGTAGGATGATTTTATTGCAATTCCTCTTCGAATATCCACAATGATGCCAAACGGCGCCTAGTTACGATTCATATTCAGTCAAAAACTGACGGATGGCGAGGTCTCGTGTGATTGACATATCAAGCGTCATTGGAAAGGAACTCATCGGATACGAACCCAAGCGTGATTCCCTTGACTAGAAACGTTGTGAAAAGTTTTGGGCAGCTGCTCCACTTACACTGGATGGTAGAACTTGAAAAGCAACTCTGTCGATACATTAAAATTGTCACTCGAGTTATGCACACATGTGATGCAACCTTGGGAGAAACAATGCTACCGAAGTGAAAAAGAGCGCTTGATCCTAACGATTTCTATCCATATATACTTCAGGCGCTGTCTGCACACAGACTGTAGACATAATAGAGATCGGGCTAATACACTTCGACTATTTCCTGAACAAGCGTTCGGAGATTGCGTGACTGGCCTACGTTGCACTGGCTGACACACCAATACTCGATGAGACGCAGAGAGCATTTGCTCAGCTACGAAATCTCAAACCGGCCGGCGCCGATGGGATCCCGCTTGAAGTGTTGAAATATGATGGACCCGCGTTGGTAAATGCGCTGCACCAATTGGCGCAACGCGTGTGGATTGAGGAAGCGGTGCCTTCTGAGTTGAAGGTATCGCTTATGTTCCCACTGTACAAGGGAAAATGATGCGAGCAATATGCCACGAATTATCGTGGTATCAACTTGCTGAGTTGTGTAGGCAACGTGATTGTCCGAATCCTGCTAAACCTCCTCGTGAGTCAGATTGTGGAACCAAACGTGGCGGAAGAGCAATGTGGATTCCGTTCGGGTCCCAGCACTATAGGTATGGTGTTTGCGGCTCGTCAGTTGCAAAAGAATTGCAGAGAACGACGCCATACATTGTACTCGCTATTTGTTGATTTCACCAAGGCATTTGATACGGTGAACCGTGAGGCATTGTGGGTGGTGTTGGGTAAGTTTGGTTGTCCCAGTAAGTTTGTAACTTTAATTGAATGTCTACACAGTGGTATGCAGGCGAGGGTGCAGCTGAGTAGAGAGACCTCGGATGACTTTGCAGTTGTCTGGGGTGAGGCAAGACTGCGTCTTAGCTTCTGCCCTGTTTAATCATTATCTACATGCCATGATGTCTTTTGCTTTTGATGCGGCTTGTGCTTACGGTGTTCGTGTGGAGCACGCTATTAATGTTGGGTTGCTGAACATCCGTTGTTTTGGGTCTAAAACCGTGATGTGTGAGACAGCCATTTGTATGTTGCTGTTTGCGGATGACTGTGTTGTTTGCACGCAGCGCGGATGAGTTGCAGCACATGACTTGTGCTCTCGCTTTGATAGCGGCCCAATTTGCGTCTACCATCAACACAAGCGAGACTGAGTTTTTTTAACCCTCACCAGGAATAGATCCTTGGGGCTGCGGCTAATCCAGTTTGACAGTGACGTGTTGGCGGCGACATCAAAATTTTGCTATCTTGGGAGCGTAATATCAATCGACCAACAGATGCTGAACGAGCTGCGTATCCTCGTAGTGAAGGCGGATACTGCGTTTGACAAAGTGCTGAAACGTGTGTGGAATAACCGCCGGCTTTCCATTGGAATGAAACTGCTGATATACAATTCTATTTTGCTGTCTGTTCTATACGATACCGAAACCTAGACGATGTACCGGAAAGACATCAGTTATCTGGAGCGATTTTGTCAACAGTGTCTCTGACGGATTCTGCGACAGTTGTAGACATGGAGGTGCTGCGCCGCAGTGACATGTACACAGTGGACTGCGTATTTCTACTACGGCATCTGTGATGGATCGGGCATATCAGGCGCATTATTTCCATGCGAAAATTGAAACAGCTCTTGTCCGGCCAACTTATGCAGGGAAGCGGCACGCGGGCAAACCGAAATCACGTTAGCAGACATGCTCAAGGTGCGTTTATCTTGAACTAATGTTGATTTCAGGTGTTTGGTAGCAACAGCGGTTCCTCGGCGCGAATGGGGTAAGCTAATCAAGGGTGCGGTTGCCCAGGTGCAGGAAAAATCACTGTTGCATGCGAAGGAGATATACCAGGTACGAAAGTAACAGGCCCCGTTGGAGTCTGCTCAGGGTGTTGTGGCACATGCAGTCGCGAGTGCCTTATCCAAGCGGGCTTGGTAGGCCACCAGTGTGGCCACATGGGGCGAGCATGCAAGAGACGACGAGTCAACTGATCATCCAAGCGTACAACGATTCGTGGGTGCGCTGCGTCTACATCCATCTGATTTAATAACCCAGGCCAAAATGGCGGTTGCTCTTTTACGTGCGCTGCATCATTGTGTCAGTTACTCTGTACGTGTGTGCCTGCGTGTTGAGTTTTGCTTGCATTTCAAGTGTTGGTTGTTGATTGATACCCCCGATCTGTCTGCGCTTGATGTAATTGTTAACAAGATGTCTACCCATCTATTACGCACCACCTCATTTATACTGGTTCCAGTAGACAGGTAGTCGTTGCTGAAGGGGACGGGGTGCACAGTCTTTGTGATGATGCTAGGCGAAAAGGATAGCTCCATGCATCTAGTGTGAAACGGGCTACGGCCCAGCCATCGCCTTATGTACGTCAGGTACGCATGTTTCCCACTTTAGATGGATAGGAATGCTACCGCTATGCATGTTGTAGGTGTGGGCCTGCTCCGTTGTTGAAAGATGGCTCCCATCCACGTGCCTCCCGGTCTTATTTCTTTGGGTTTACAATGGATGTGGGTGTGTGGATGGAGCTGTGAGTGGTGCAGCGCATCATCCCCCCCATGGTCCCCGTGTAGGCGCAGACGTCCATTGTTTGTTCTTTGGAGGCCGTCATGACTGGCAAATCCGGAACCGAATGTTACCAGCCATATATGCAGCGGTTTAAGATTACACATGGAGCCATCAAAAATCATGGAAACCTAAGTATGGTACAGTTGTAAGAAGAATACCGAACGCAACACAGAGATGTCCATGCTTTCATCAGGGGGTACGATAGTAAACAGTTGTCCAGGCTGAGGTAAAATGTTAACTTAGGGTACACCACCACTTGCCTTTTGCCAAACAGCTTGTCCTCAGGGCAGCGGAACGAATTCAGAAAATCACGCTCATTGGTAGCTGGTGACTGATTATTCGGCCTATAGGCCTTTCTTTTGGTCGGTTACCAAACGGAGGCTCAATCCTCAGTGGTTTTCAAATGATAGTGGTCACTTAAAAGCAAGCTCAGTGCTCCACTTAACAGATTCTGATACAATGAATAGTTGCTTTCTTAATGGCGGCCGTCAGCTGTCACTCTCGTGCACAGTTAGAA